GTGATAATAAAAAAAAAGATTAAGAGCTAGACACTGCAAAAACAAGTAATATAAGAGAAAGATTTATAATGGTAAAAATAACAGTCAGACGGATAAATTAAAAATAATTACATTAGCTGAATGTTAGGAACTTGCGACAGTATGCCAAGCTTTTAGTAACTTTATAACCTTCAAGCAGTTCAAATCACCAGTTAGTTTGGAATTTAACTAGAATTTCTTAGAGGAAGAAAAAAATTTAAACCTAGCAAAATGTTATATATCAAAAAATGTCTTCATATAAACAAAAGTTGATACTACAATCAACATAAAGTTTTTGGAACTGTTTCACACCAAACAGTGAAATACACACATGCACGCAGCAAATAAGAACCATTTCAGTATATCAATTTTACAAATTATGAATCTATATAAATAATACACTTGCATTTTTCTGTCCAGAACTTTTGTCACAAATTTCTCAATCAAACATGCTACAAGTCACATATTGTTAGAAAGACCTTCATCCAAGGAATCCAGATTACATATTGGCTTTCAATTCAGAATTACTTTACCTGTTTTATGCTTAGCCAAACTTTTCAATGTAACAAGCATGATACATGTCATTGTCATCACATGATGACTGGCTTAGATTTCAATTTTAGTTTTTTATTTGCAAAGTATTTCATACAAACAACACTTAATCCATGTGTAATTTCCTAAAAAAAATGAATGCTACATTAAATACAATTTCTGTGGGCTTTTCCGACTTCTTTAGGTCTAAAATACACATGCACAGTTCATTCAAAACCATTTGCTTATCACTTTGTGAACATGCATTCAGAAGTTTCTGCACAATCAGCAAGTTTGCCTTCATTACAACTTTACATTTACTTTATAATAAATTAGCTTCGCTTTGTTTCATAGACTGCTATAAACACCTTTTAGATAATTTTTTCTTTATTACTGGTTTTATTCTCTGTTTTAACTCAGAAAATCATGTCCTACACTGAATGCTCATAACTGTTTCATACTCTGTACACTATTATAAATACCATTACTATATTGTTTATTTTATGTGTAGTTTTATTAAATAAAGTTACATCTACATGAATCTGTTTGTCCAACTGTGTAAAAGTTTTTCAAACAGAACAGGATTTATTGATCAAATCCTGCAAGAAAATGTACCTTAAATGGTATGTATGAAAATGATAGAATAAAGAAAATTCAAGCACAGGGCATGAAAACTACCACAAATGTTTTGCAGCTTGCAGCTAATATAAGAATACAACATTAAAAATGTAAGTATGATTTCAGTGCAACAATTTTCCAAAAGGAGGATATAAAAACAGTAATCATGTTAATACATTTCAGTTCAGCAGTTTTACAAAAGGGGGAATGTAATGACAGTTAAAACTAGTAAATTTTCAGAAAAGCTTGTATATATTTGAGCTTCAATTTGAAGGTATAATTTATTTTAAGAGCAATGTGAAACTTCAATACAAATGTTCAGTTTACAACAGTATGTAAAACCCAGTTTTCAAGAATAGCATTTCAAGTCACATATAGAGCACATGAAAGTTTACAACATTACATTCTGAACAACATATTAACCAAATTATGTCATTATCAAATATCTGAGCTCATCACTGCATGAAGTCATTATAGTCCATAGCTCTACTGCTGTATTTACCTGAAAATACAAAGTCCTAACTCTACTGTTTGAACTTACCATTAATTCCATAGCAGTGTCTTCCTTCCTGACGATAGACACCAACACAACTACACTCATGAGACCCTGGAGTGTTATGACAAATCTGGTCACAAGTCCCTTCAATGTGGCATTCATTAGTATCTGAGAAAATTGCATATAACCTTAATTAGAAACCATTATTTATTCAAGTTCAGTGCAAAGTCTGTCAATGACTCTCTGGACATTACTTAACACTCTAATACCACAGTTATTATAACTGAGCCCTAGCAATACTTAACACTTAATGATATTATAAAAGCAACAAAACAACTACATAAGAAGAAGTTAATATTCTGCTGAACTCAATCTGTTATTACTATTTATTACTAATTTTATGAGTTAAGAACATTATTTTGCATTGTTTGTTTAGTAAAATAATTTAGGACTAAATCTCTTTAAACTGGCCAATCACTGTGAAATATTATTGGGATTAAGGTTTGATATATTATTAACATCAAGGATCCCCAACTAATGATGCAGTGCATCTTAATCATTATAAGTTTCAGTTTTCTTATGTACTGAAGCATGAAATTAACTACTTAATTTATTTGTTACTTTTTAGTTCTTATCTATATAAATAACTTACTTTTAATCAGAAGTTATGAACATTAAGTATGGCAGCACTATTAATCTTTAATATTTCAAGTTCATAATATTCATTCTAGATAAAAACAAGAGGGAATCCGCAATAGCTACAGCACTTGAAATTCTTTTAGGCAGAATTAGAGTAAATTAATCTACGAGACCTTGGACATGGTCAAATATATCAATCAAAAGGGTTTAACTACCTGAGTCCAAAACTGTAATTAGATCTCAAAATGGTCAAGAGATGAAAAAGCTATGAGCTAAAAGTTTGTACTTGAAAAAAACAAACAAAAAATTCAGAACCATTCTATGAGCCACAGCTAAAAACTGCAACATGAAGAGAATGAAATCAAAAATAAACATTAAAATCACTATTACAGTTTCAAACTAGGTAGCCAATCCTTCTATCAAATACATAGTGCATGTACTTTGTGATGTATTAAACTGCATGTGTAATTAAGTAATGTGTATCCTGCAACTACATTTTAAGCACATGAAGTTGTGTAATACACATTCTACTCCTATACTTTAACTACAGTATAAGCAGTTTAATAATGTGTAATACATCACTATTTTCCCTTCAGGAAGTTATATACTACACATTCTACTTCTCTGCTTTAACTACAGTATAAGCAGTTTAATAATGTGTAATACATCACTATTTTCACTTCAGGAAGTTATATACTACACATTCTACTTCTCTGCTTTAATTACAGTATAAGCAGTTTCATAATGCGTAATGCACTACTGTTTTTGCTACGGGAAGTTATTTTTACAAATTCTACTTCTATGCTTTAACTACAGTACAAGCAATTAAACACTGTGTAATAAATACACTACTATTTCTAGTATGTGAAGTTATATATCATATATCCCACCTCTTTGCTTTAACTACAGTATAAGCAGTTTAATAATGTGTAAATTTGATGATGATTAACCCATTTTTTAGAAAATAAAGTTTGGAGATGGCTTGAATGGGTAGTGACAGAAACTATTACAAATGTACAACATTTCAACAAGCTTCTGTCATCATCAAGAACAGTTTAAACACTGTACATTTACAATAAAGTTTCTGTCACTGCTCATTCAAGCCATCTCCAAACTTTACTGTGCAAGTACACCAATATTTTTTCTACATGAAGTCATATATTACACGTTCTACTTCAATGATTTAACTACAGTATAATTAAATACTGTGTACTCCACTATATTTTCACTCCGAACAATTATATATTACACATTCTACTTCTATGCTTTAACTACAGTATAATTAAATACTGTGTACTCCACTATATTTTCACTCCATGCAATTATATATTACACATTCTACTTCTATGGTTTAACTACAGTATAATTAAATACTGTGTAATCCACTATATTTTCACTCCATGCAGTTATATATTACACATTCTACTTCTATGCTTTAACTACAGTATAATTAAATACTGTGTAATCCACTATATTTTCACTCCATGCAGTTATATATTACACATTCTACTTCTATGACTTAACTACAGTATTATTAAATACTGTGTAATCCACTATATTTTCACTCCATGCAGTTATATATTACACATTCTACTTCTATGACTTAACTACAGTATTATTAAATACTGTGTAATTCACTATATTTTCACTCCATGCAGTCACAATTTATGCATTCTACTTTTCTTTCAACTATTATCAATAAGTTGATAAATCTAGTGTTGATTATTTATTCGCAGACTATAATGGTTAAGAGTAGCATATACATATAATTTAAGGACAACAAGACAACTGCTGGTCCATCTAGGGTATAACATGCACTATACTAAACTCTAAAATGAAAAACTCAAAGACAGCCCTTATCATTTTAAAACAATATTGGATATTGTTTACTAAATTCCAAGTTACTGAATACTTTTCCCAATGATCACTGACAACTATGTATACAACAATCCTTCCTAACAACAGTTTATAATTATAATAACAAGTTTATAATTGGCAAGAGTGTTTGTTACAGATAATCTGTATGTGAACTATAAATATATGTTTAGTTGTAAAAATTTGCTTCTTAACAGTATTATGGCTTAAAACCCTAAGCATTAGAATTCTTTTGACTCAATAAAAAAAACAAAAAAACATGAGTACTTAAGTGAATGAAGATACGGGTGTTGATTTGGTGTATCTGGATTTTCAGAAAGCATTTAACTTGGTGGTACAAAAAACACTTATTAAAAAGTTATCTCTGTAGGTGTGTAGGATAGATTGGCTCATTGGATAGAAAACTGGATGGATGGAAGAAAGCAATTGGGGTACCTTGGGGCTCAGTGTTAGGATCTTTGCATTTTTGAAGAAATGGTCAACAGGTTATATAAATTTGTTGATGACATTAAAGTTGGGTGCTAGCTGTGAGGAGGATGCTACTGCCTTACAAAAGGATTTGGATTATTTGGTGAGTTGGGCAAATAAATGGTAGATGGCTTTTAATTATATTAAAGCAAGGTAATGATGTGGGATACCATAATTTGAATTATGAGTATAATTTTGATGGTAATAGCCTTAACAGCATTACAGAAGAAAATGATCTTGGTGTTCTGGTTGATCAGTCTCTTATGCCATCCAAGCAATAAGCTGTTGCTAGTGGCAGGGCATACAGAATTTTAGGTAGTATCTACAGAAATATTGAATACAAGTCTAAAAGAGGTTATAATGTCATTGGTTAGACCACATTTGAAGTACTGTGTTCAGTCTTTGGCTACTTACCTCAAAAAGGACATTGAATTGTTGAAAATGGTTCAGAGAATAATACCTGGGATGGAAAGGTTATCATATGAGGATAGGTTAAGATGTCTTGAAAAAAGAAGAGTTTGCGGTGATCTGATTGAGGTGTTTAAGATTGTTAAGGGAATTAATAGTGTTGATGAATCATCTTTTTTCCTATTTAATGGTGAGAAGGGTAATACTACAGGACACAAATATAAATTTTGGCATACATATCATCAAATTATACATCAGTGTATTTAACCAGTAGTAAAAAGTGCTAAGTCTAGGATAATTTGACCAACATAAATTACCATTTTTTAAATAATACTCTTTACCGGAAAGTTGATTACAAGAATCTATTGTCAACAACTCACAGAAATTTTGCAGTTCCTGTAAAATCATTTTATTACTTCAGCACAGAATATAACAAAATTCTGTGACTTATGGGCTTTATTTCTGTTTTCATTTTAACATGGCAGTCATGGATAATATTTGTTAATTATCCATTAATTTTTTGACTTTCAAGTCAAAGCACAATTTGTATCAGCTGTTAAGATAACTGTGACCTTTTCTTTTTTTATATAACTGGTTCCTCACAGAATATACATTACGTTAATACTAAATGCAAAAAGAATATCCAGAAGTTTTACAGTCCTTAATATTTTTGTTTTGAATAAAACAATACTTTTCAATTCTCATATACTCAAATAAATTATAAAAAAAAAGATAAAATAGGTGAAACTTTTAGGATGTTTTTTTTTCTTTCTTTTTAAATTAACTACTTATTTTTAAGATACCCCACATAATCCTTCCTATATAACAGATCTGGATTAAATTTTCAACTCATTAAAAATTCAAGGAAAACTTCTTAACCAGAATTTTCCAACAAACCATAATTTTTAATTTGACAATTGAAAACAGCAGTTTTAGTTGAAAGTGTTCTCCCAGCAAAATACACATTTCTTGTTGCATATTAACCTATGATGAATGAAAAAGAAAATGTTTGCAATGATTAAACACAACTGATATTTTTTCAACTGGAGCCATGAATTAAATATCAGACATGATATACATTTGATGTTTAAGTTATTTAAACATCCGTTAAAGGTATTCTGATAATTATTTCTAGAAAATGGATGGATGATCCTGAAAAATTGCCGATATATGTACGTAGAACTTAATATTTTTGGCAAATGCATTAAACAGACTTATTAACTTTCCCTTTTATGGTTATCAAACACCTTTTTTTTTGGCATGCAATCAAATAAAAAGCAGAATTAGAAACCAAACTAAGTTAAAGTACAACCAACAAAAATGCATCGTAATACAACCAAATGAGTAGGAGGACTACAATACAAACATAACAGGAATGGGAAAAGCAATTGATCACCACTAGATGGCATCCTACTTCAAGCATGCATTATACAGACAGAAGTAAAGAATACCTGAAGAGAGCTCAGAATCTGCAGGCACCAGCACCGTAGAATTAGAGAGATAGAGAGGAGAAAAAGAAGTCAAAAAATGCATTATATTTAGAATATATAACAATATATGTGCATACATTTTACACTTCCTTGTACCACAAAAAGTGCTTGCATAAATCAGTCAACAGATATTTCACAACCACAGATTCTTTTTCTCAAATAAAAATACAACATATTAGGTTCTGAACATAAATCATACATACGCAAATTTCTTTTAAACTTACAAAATTTTGAATAAAAATTGTGTCACCACCAACACTACAGGGAAAATTACTGTGTGTTTTATATGAAATACAAACTACTTGTAAATGTATTTAATAACTACACACCTAAACAATGTTGATTTTCCGTTTTATTCTGTAAAGAACGGAAGTTCCAACTAACGTGAATGAAATAACTAAATGTGCACGAGTCAGTCCAATGGACCAACCCCAGACTGGAAAAGTAATATTGACTATAATTCCAAACTTACAAAGTATAACTTCATGAAATGTAGCATGTTTTTAGTTAACTGTACAAGTCTGTTGTACACAAAAAATCAAACACGTTGCTAAAATGTTTGTGTTAAAAAAATAAGTCTGTAAAATGCCAAAGTTAGTCTCAATCTAACTCTGAACAGTCAGAATGCAAGGTGACATTCATGTGAAGAATAAAAACACTTCTTCTCACCTTACAGTTTTAATATTTCATTTGCATAACCTCTAAAGCCTGCTATATGAAGAAAAAGTTTTTTTTCAGTAAAACTTTATATTTTATCTGTTATTTTCTTTAGCCTAACACTATACACACTTGGTCCACTTGTAACCACCAAAAAAAAATAAATAAATAAATAAATCTAAATTACTTTTTTTTATCTTCCTAGGATGCCTGTATATTGCAAAAGAAAATTAGAATTATTTATCCTAAACAACCTCAGACCCTTAACCCTTTAAATTTGTTTTTATCTAATTTGACTGTTTTATTGCAATTTGAACCATGTCTAACTACTAAACCTGGGTAACAAGCTAAAAATCAACCAGTAAATGCATAGCTCAAGTTACAGTTTTGAATTACATAATACACAAGTTTCTTGTGTGCACACACCATACAGAAATTAATTTAATATTTTTTTCTTTAACTTTTTTCTTTACGTTTTCTTATCTAACCTAAAAACAAGAAATTTAGTACTTACATGTAGGTCTTGTACTTTTTTGCAATCAAAGGCTTGAAGAGTCAATAAAAGTTACCCATAATTTTTGCTAGATTTGTTGTTAGTACTTCACTAAATTTTCATCCAATTGAAATATTCAATTTAGAACACAAAATAATAACACATCCAAATCATACAATGTCCTTTAACTATTATAATTTAACTGGCTTTCTAATTAAGCTAAGAGTGCATTAAAATAATTCCCTCAGTTGGTTAAGCTGAGCTCAATGATAGCAACTTTGAAGCTGTATCCTAAATAACTCAAAAGTTGTCATTAGAACAATCTAGCATTATATGTAAGTCAGTAAATTAAATTCCTCTCTTTCTAATGGTTATGAATAAAATAATAGCAAATGTCAGAGGGATTATCCTTTTTTTTATTATTTGAAAGACTGTGTGTTATAGGAAGGCATGGCCTGTGGGGTTGACTTTCTGTAAATCAAGATGGCTGGAGAATATAAAATTAGCTTATGTCTATCTATACTATACTATACCTTTGCAATTAAAACTCAGAAGATGATATAGGGTAGAAAGAATGTTTAAGTGGGCTATTCAGAGTGAACAAGTGTCACATGACAGATGTGAAGACTGGGAATTTATCTAAATATTTCCTTTTCAAATTTACAAATTAAAACTTAAATAATATTAAAATTTGCTTCAAAAACTAAGTTTTGATGCCAAGTTTATTGACATACATATCAAATAAAATAGCTTAATTAAATTTTGAATGTAACCCTGTAGAAAGGTTGAGACATTTGCCCTTTTATCTATCCATATCCAAAGGATTAAACTTGAGGTTCATACTTGCAGACTATAGCGTGTTAATATTAAGCTTTTCATTCTTTATCAAGACTAATGTGATGATTAGCACTCTGAATTAAAAAGTATATAAGCCACCTGTCATGCTAGTCTAAACTGACCACACAACAGCTGTGTAAAATTTTTTTGTAATTTCTAAACCTTTTCTCATTAAACAAAAAAAAGACTAATAATCAGATTTGTTTCATATTCAATATTAGATTTTATACATAGTAAGTGGTATTTAAAATCTGTTTCTTTAGATAAGAAGTTATTTTTGAAGAAATCAACTTGTCAAGACATGTATCTTGTTAGCAGAACCTAAAAACAAATCAAGATTTAAATATATATATATCTAAGTTCAATAATGATTCATTATGTATACAAGACATTTGTATTCTAAATTTGAGAGATCACATACCCTCGCCACCCCACAAATTTTTAGATTTTTGGTTTCAATATGTGCCTGAAATTTATTCCTCATACAATCACTTTTTACACAGTTATTATCAACAAACTGAGAAAATGCCCTACATCTCCATTATAAAAATGTTTGAAAATGATCAAGAATCTGGATATGGATCAGATTTGAGAAGGATCATCCTATAGGGAGAACCCTATCTCCTGTAATAATTTAACATAAATTGATTTATTATTTTTCGAGATACGCATATGGACATACATATGGACCCAAATGCAATACCCTCACCCACCCCCTCCTCTAGGAGTAAGAGTAATGAATTTCAAATGGAAACTTACCTCTGAAATACTGAAAGCTATTCCTTGAAGAGTTTGAACTCATGCTGTCAATAAAATGTATGACTCAAAATTTCTACTCTCTCATGTTCCACATGACTTATTGTGCAGATGTCATGATTCTTACATAACTTCTATTTCCCCATCATAATTTAGATTTTCTTGAAAGTTGCAGTCATGATGAAAATTCATTTGAGGGGGGGGCAGGTATTTAAGAAATACGAACCCCCTTTGAAATTCATTTTAATTCTAAAAATGTAAAATTCAAATCAGGTACTCTGAAATACTGAAAGCCAGAATATCCACCCTGTAAAGCCCCCAAACATTCGCAAGAATTGGCTCAACAATGTGAGAACAATGCAAATGGAATATCAAAACATAAATAAATAAGAACAAAACCACAGGTGATCTCCTTCCTGGATGGAGTTGAGAATCTAATTATAATGGTAATCATGTTACCAATACCCTGCAAGGACATGAACAAGTAGGTGGGAAAAGTACCTAAAGAGGCATCTTCTGCCACCAGATGACACCCTCTTTCCACTTCCAAAGGGCAAATTCTTTCATGGAACTCCAGAGTAAAGGATGACATTTTGTGTAAGACCAATCCATACACAATTTCATATAAAGAGAGACCATGCATTTTTTTTACATAGAAAAATAAACTAATTTCTCCACCACAGATAACCCTAGATTTGTGAACAGAGGTGTTGCTTAGGGCAAATGCACAGATTAAAGAACATTTAAGAGTCCTGACTAGACAAATCAATATAAATACATACTGAATTTACAAAACGAGACTGTACTTAACTTATACTTTTTTTCTTGTTTTGTATTATTCTTATTGAAGTCAAAATTATTTACAATCTCAGACACCTTAGATATGGTTATCAGTGGATGTTGAGCAGAATATACAAAACTTCAGAGATCTGAATTCCATCAAACCTGGAGAATAACCCAAAACTGATGTTATAAAAGTAAAACTGAAAAACTTGCAAATTTGTCTCTATGGCCTGAGAGATGTTACCAAAGGGTCCCAAGACGTAGCCACCAAATGATAGATGAGATGAGATGTAACCTGAAAATGAAGCTTAACCCTATCGGCCCGGGTACACTTTACTGCATATGACACAAAGTTTTAGTGTCTTACATTCAAAATTTTATTAAACTACTTTCTGTTTATGTTATACCAATTAG